ATATGCGTTTTTGCTGCCTGTTGCAGCGCTCTAGCGCTGCACGGCAAAAACGCATAAAAACGTATGATTGCACTGGCAAGTTTGGTACATCGCAGCGTGTGTTGCATTTCACAGATGTGCAAAAACGCACAAAGATTTTTATTATTTTTGAAGAGAGAATAAAAACATTTTTGTTCCGCATAGCTAATAAAAAAAAAGAGCCAAAAAAAGAAAATTCAGAAAAAAAAAAAAAAAACGAAATTACACAGTGAAAATAAAATCAATGATGCATTCATTACACAATACAGCACTGTCATTACTAAATGCAAATTTAGAAGCAATTCAAAGGAACGCTGTAAATATTCAGCTAACTTTTCACTCCACCACACTGTTCTTCGAGTGATGACAACGAAAAATTGAAGGCAGTGTCCAAACAAATGATCTAAAACAGAATTTTGGAACTGGACAGTGGTACACATCCCTTCCTCCACCCCGCCAACATCAGCTAACAGGGCCTGAATAATGCGTAAGATGTTTACGGGTGTATTATCTTTACTAAATAATAGTTTAAAAAACCATTTATTCTAGATTAAAAAAAAATCCAGTAAAAGAAATTTTAATTACAATGAATGATGAAAAGAATAAACAAATGGCTAGCGCACCGACTGCCGGTGCGAAGATGCGTTTTTTGCATAGTTCCCGCAGACTTTTATCGCTAGTGGCACTGCTTTTTCCAGCAGATGCTTCTAGCTAAAAGAATCGAGACTAGTTGCCAGGACTGTCAGGAGACACCCCTTTAAAATTTCAGCTTCCTAACTTTCCTGGTTTCCGAATTGGTAACTTACCCGCAAAAAACTTTCACGGGTTTGTGGATGGGAACCGCGCATACTCGAGGACTTGGCTTGAGCTCATTAACACTTGCTGGGACGAGCCACATTCCCTCAAAATTCCAATCTTCTAGCTTCTCAGGTCCCCGAGTTAGCAACTTACTCGAAAAAAAGTTTCACGGGCCCGTACATGGGAACCACGCATACCCAAGGACTGCCTTTGAACTCATTAAGACCTACATGGATAAGGAACATCTTAAAATTTCAGCTTCTTAACTTCTCTGGTCCCCGAGTTAGCAGCCTACCTGCTAAAAACTTTAGCGGGTCCCTACGTGGGTAACACGCGGGTAAGAGTGCCCATTTTGGGGGATGGAGCCTGCACTTGCATGTAGATTAAGTTCCCAAAGAAGTTTCAGTCCTATAGCTTTTATAGATCCTGAGATGAAAAATCGGTGCAGACGCACACAGGGACACAGACACACAGACAACCCATCGTCAATACTCGTTTTCTGCATTGCACAGATGAAAAAAACACACAAAAATGGCCTGCTCAAAACACCATTTGAATAAAAATTAGAAAAAGAGGAATTAAAAAAGCAAAACCAACGAAGTTAGTCCCTTGCCGCTGCTTTAGTACGAGAAGTTTTTGGGGTCTCACTGGTCTCCCGTGAAGGTTTCTCTCGTGCAGAATCTTCGGAGTTTGCTGGTGTGGCACGTGGACTCGAGAATCTTGAACGTTCCAATTTCGCCTGGAAAATTACACACAGCTTATACAGTACCAATTTTAAACCGGGCAGAAAAATGACTCAACGGGCGTGTTCTTTGAAGTCAAACCTCTTCGGCTGCAAAGGCGGCACTCCTCCGTGTCATATGTGCGCCACCGGACCGAACGAACAACATATCTTTTCGTAGCATCTGCAATAAACAGCACAATGGATGCTACGTTTATGCGTTTTATGTAAAAAGAAGCTGTAAGCAATCGGAAGAATG